GCCTCCTACAAGTACTCCCTAGTATCCTTCTATTACCGCTTCTAGTCCTCTCTTCTCTTACGATTGCACTCCTCCTACCTTTCGTTCATCCTGCAATTTCTGGCTATTCATGCTGCTATTCAGTCTCCTTATCTTCATCTCTGATGTCCTTGGTTCTCCTCCAGCAGCCCCCCTATTCCTATCGTCGTTCTTCGCTCTCTTGCATCATTTCTTTCTCCTTCTCCCTTCAGCCATCTTTTACCCTTGGTGGCTATTATTTCTCCTCCTGCCCATTCCTCCATGGACGACGGCGAATACGATGGCGATGTCGGCGATGCTGGTGGTGATGATGAAGAGGCGGACGCTTATCATGATGATATCGGCGTCGCTGGAGATTACGAGGATATCGACGATGACGAACACGTGGACTACTGCGATTATTGTGATGGTGATGCTGATTCAGAGACTGGCTCTTAACACGACGATGATTACGATGCTGATGATGATGACGCTGGCGATGAAACTCACGATGCTGTGTGACAGTGATGATATGGTTCACGTTTCGGATATTCAGGAGGGAATGAAGATGTTGATGATGGTGGTGGTGATGAGAAGTATAATGAGCTTCCGCATGCAGGGATTCATCGCCGCTCTGTTCGGGGTGGAACTGGACCACAAGCTCTGCCTGGTGGCCCCTGGGGAAGGACAGGCTGGCGCCTACCAGTGCGTCTGCTCCTTACTTTCCCCTTCTCCCTCCGCCTTCACCTCCCCCCTCCCCCCTCTCCCTATCTGCCTTACCGCTCCTCCCCCTCTTCACCCCTCCCTTCTCTCCACCCCAGCTCTCAATCGCCCCCCTCCGTAGCTCTCCTCCCGCCTTCTCCTACCTCCTCCTTTCTCCATCCCTTCTCCGTTCCCTTTCTCTCTCTCACTCCATTTCGCCGCCCTTTTCTATATCTGCTCCCTCCTTTTCCTCCTTTTCCTCCATCCTCTCTCTCTCTCTCTCCTGCCTCTCCCCGTTTCCTCTACTCCCTCCTCTCGCTTCCCCCTCCCTCACCCCCCTCTCCTTCGTTCCACTTCTTGCTCCCCTCTCTTCTTCCTCCCCTCTCCCTGCCTCGCTCTCCTCCCTTCTCCCTCGCTCTTGTTCCCTCCTCTCCCGCATCACGCACCACCCTCCTCTGCCCCGTACCTCCTTCGCTTCTGCCACGTCGCTGCTTTTTTCAGGAGGCTGAGGAGGAGGGAGGCAGGGAGGGAGGGAGGGAGGGAGGGATTGAGTGGGTGAGAAGAAGATGGGGAGAGAGGGTGCGAGGGACTGAGTTGGGGGGGAGGGGGAGGGCGGAGGGAGGAGGAGGAGGAGGAACACAGAAGCGGCACGAGCCCACGGCGGTCCCGTCCAGCGCGCGCTAGTGTGCGCGTCCCCTGGCGCGCGGAGCTCTCGGAGCCAGGGCCGAGGTGTGAGGCGGACTGGCCGGACAACACAGCGAACCGAAGGACCCGAGCTCCTGCCCCGGTGCCAGGCACCCGCGGCAAGAGCTCCTGGCCCTGCTGCCGGCACGAGCTTTCGAAAGGGGCACCCCTGGGCTCTTCGTGCTGGGGCTCTCCCTCTTGCCGTGCTTTTCGTTCGGGGTGCCTTCAGGGGGCCGTTGGCCGCCTCCCCCCTCCCCCCTCCCCCCTCCTCCCTCCTACCTCCTCCTCCTCCCTTCTCCCTCCTCCTCCTCCTCCTCCTCTTCCTCCTCCTCCTCCTCCTCCGCCTCCTCCTCCTCCTCCGCCTCCTTCATGTGTCGACCGCACGAGTCCAGCCGAGGAGAGACGGGTGGCACCGTCAGAGGCGGCAGACAACGTGTCTGGCGCTCCCAGGCGGCAGGGCGCAGGCTGGGCGATCAGCGGCGCAGGCCCACCAGGAGCTTCGCGCAGGCGGGGAGCGCCGTCCAGCGCCGAGGAGGCCAACCCTCATCACTTCGGTGCCAACTCTCATCACTTCGGTCAGTGAGGGCTCGCGCGGGGTCGCAGAGGCCCGCCTGCGGCGGAGCGCGCCGACGCACGCTTGCCAGGGCCTGGTGGCGTGCAAAGAGGGGCTCCCAAGAGGGGGTTAGCCGAGGCGCTCGGCGAGGCCGGCTTGGACCATCCAGATGTGACTGGGGTGTGGCCAGACTTGGGGCCGGTGCTTGTGGCGGCAGGACAGGGCCTGCGTAAGGGGCCGAGGCAGCTGCAGTGGCTGCCCTGCGAGGCCAGGGGCCGAGGCAGGGGCCGAGGCAGCTGCAGTGGTTGCCCTGCGTCGGAGCTGGGCAGCGACATCTCGCCCGCTGCCAGGCTTCGGCGGCGGCGGTGGCGGCGGCGGCGGTGGCGGCGGCAGCACTGAGGCCGGTTTCAGATGCGCCTCTGGCTCGGCGCTGCACGGGCGAGGGGTCCGCGAGGGGAGCCCAGATATCCGATCTCTTGATGTTTTTAACATGGGTTCCTGGATGACCCGAGCCTTTCCCCAGGGCCAGTTTTTCCAGCCCGAGTTGATTTTTCAAAGTCCCAGGGCCCAGCGGGGGCCCCCGGGAGGCCGAAAACGGCCAAACACCTCCAGTCGTGATTTTAGTGCTTCCCGACCATGTCTGGGAGCGGATCCGGGGGGCCGCGGTTCCCGCCGTCGGCCAGCTGCGAGTGGTGGGCGCACAAGGGCGCAGCCGCCTTGGCCGCGGCCGGCGGGCCGCTGAACGCGCCTGCCGAGGAGGCAGTCCTTACTGGGCTCTGGGACCGTCAATGGGCCCACGGGAAAGAGGAATCGCCCAAAACTTGCGCCTCAAGAACAGGTAGGTCCTCGAAGGCCTTCGCGGCAGAGGCCGCGGCGACGGGCTCCTGGCTGTAGCCAGGGTCGCACCAGCGGAGGGGCCGGCTGGCTGGAGGGCTGGATCGGTAAGCTGGGGCCAGCTCCCTCGGGGCATGTCGCTCGGCGGGAGCATGTTCCTGCGAGCTTGCCGCGGCAGCGCGTCCACTGGACGCGGCGCTGCCGAGGCAGGGCCGCGCTGGGGTCGCGTGGGAGTCGAATGCACGTGGGAACTCGCGTAGTCGGGCGCGTGTAACCGTTCGCGCGTGGAAGGAGGAGGAGGAGGAGGAGAAGTAGGAGGAGGAGGACGAGGAGGAGGAGGAGGTAGGTTGGTGGAGGAAGGAGGAGGAGGTGGAGGTGGGAAGATGATGATGATGTTGATGTTTGATGGGATGTTGTTGTGTGATGATGATGATGTTGATGATGATGATGATGATTGATGGTGATGAGGATGATGATGTTTGATGATGAAGGTATTGATGTTGATGTGGATGAGGTGTGTTGATCGTGATGATGAGGAGGAGGAGGTGGTGGAGAGTGGAGGAGGTGGAGGAGGAGGTTTGTTGTGTGGGAGTCGGGGTGGGTGGTGTGGTACGCGGAGGAGGAGGGGGGGTGGATGGAGAGAGGGACGGTGGCTGGAGGTCGGCATGTGGTGGTGGTGAGGGAGGGTGGGGTGTGTGGGGAGGAGGGTGAGTGGAGGGCGGAGGAGGGTGGTGGTGGAGGAGGGGTGGGGGGATGGGGGGGAGGGGAGGCCGGAGGTGGAGTGCGGACGGTGGCGGGAGTTCGTGGCATGGGTACCCGGTGGGGGGTAGGGGGGGGGGCGGTGCGGAGAGGAGTAGGAGGCGGAGTGAGGAGGGGAGGAGGAGGCGGAAGAAAAGGTAGGGGAAAGTTTGTAGAATAGGTGGGTAGAGAAGGGGGTATAAGGAGAGAGGGATAGGGTGAGGCTGGAGTGGAGGGGAAAAGAGGATGAGGAGGGGAGGAGGAGGAGGTGGTACAGGTGGAGGTGGAGGGAGGAGGAGAGAGGAGGGAGGGAAGGCGTCTTGGAAGGAATGTAGGGAGGATAATCCAAAAACTAATATGAGGGAGGAGGAGGAGGAGGGGGGAATTAGCGGAGCCCCCCCCCCCCCCCCCCCCCCCCCCCACCCCCCCCCCCCCCCCCCCCCCCCCCCATATTCTGAGGAGGCGGTGCGGAGGCGGAGGCGAGGAGTAGGAGGAGGGAGGAGGAGGAGGAGGAGGAGGAGGAGGAGGAGGAGGAGAGGCGCGAGGAGAGAAGAGGGATGTGGGATGAGGGCGGGGCAGGGATGAGGGAGGCAGCCAGGCGAGTAGCCCCTCGTTGTTCTCTCGCCCCTCTTCCCTCCTCGTCCTCCTCCTCGCTCTCCTCCTCCTCCTCCTCCTCCTCCTCCTCTTCTTGTTCTGCGTCCTTCTTCCTGGCCTTCGCGAGCGCTACTCTCCCCTCGTAGGGCACTCTCCCTGGGACGCCTTTCGAGACTTTCAGTCGAATCATGTTCCTGGTCCAGATCAAATGGGGTGGAGGAGGGATACGAGGAGGAGGCGGGGATGGGGAGGCGGGGGTGACGAAGAGTGGAGGAGGAAACGGGAAAGTGCGAAAAGGAGGGAGGAGGGGACGGGGGATGGGTAAAGATACGGGGACCGGACCAGGGGCACAGGGCAGATGAGGATGAGTCCGTAGGATGAGGGGCTATTTCCCGAGCCCTGGAAGCCTCCTGGCGGTGCCTTTGGCACCGCCTCTGGCGCGCTCCGCGCGCCAGAGAGGGAGTTCCAGCGACGATCCAAGAAGTCCACTCCAAAAAATATGGGTCGGCCAGTTTTCCCTTCTTGTAGGAGGAGGGAGGACACTCGTCATCGTCGTCGCTGTTGTGGCCCGTCCAGTTCGTCCAGGGTTCCTTCAGCTGTCGCCGCCACTGGTCTTGTCGTGATCCTTGTTGTGGCAGCCATCTTCGTCATCGCCCTTGGCGTCGCCGTGGTGGTCGCCGTCGCCGTCGCCGTCGCCGTCGCCGTCGTCGTCGTCGGCGCCGCCGTCGCCGTCGCCGTCGCCGGCGCCTTCGCCGTTGTCGTCGTCGTCGTCGTCGTCGTCGTCGCCGCCATCCTTTGCCGCCGTCGTCGTCGTCATCGTCGTCTTTTTTGTTGTGGCGTCGTCGTCGTCGTCGTCGCCGTCGTCGCACCCACCGTCGTTTTTTGTTCGAGTCCCCAGGTGGCCGCGGCGGGGATCGCCTTGGCACTTTGCGGGGGCGGGCAGATCGAGCTGCTCGTTGCCGCCCTGGCCTTTCTCAGGCCGCCCGTGCCATCGCCGCCGCCTTTGCCGTCGTCGATGCTGTCGTGGTTCCAGGGAGGGAACAATCCAGAGGAACGGCCGCCTGTCCGATCCGTTCGCGCCCGGGGCGGTTTTCAAGATGGGAGGATGATTTGGTTTTGTTCGCTCGTGAGAAGCACTGGGAGTCGTGGGTATCTGCTGCGCAAGGCGCAGAAGTATGGTCTGATTACGAGAGCGAGTACGTGCAATTCTCATGGAGGTGACGAGGCGCACCATATTTTCCACATTCGTGATCCGCCAGCGCCCCTCTTGCCTTTCTTGTCTCCTCCTACTCCGCACAGGCACTGAATCGCCATGCGTATGTTGCAGCATGTTCCCGGTCCTCTCAGAGGGCCAGCGCGCTACAGGCGCGCCTGCCTCCCTTGCAGGGACGCGGGCCCTTCCCGGCGACGGCAGTTTCGTTCGTTCGTTCGTTCGATGCTGCCGTGGTGGTTCTGGTCGTCGTCGTTCACAGCCGCCGCCGCTGCCGTCGCCTACAGCCGCCGCCGCTGCCGCCGCCCACAGCTGCCGTCGTCGTCGTCGTCGTCGTCGTCGTCGTCGTCGTCGTCGTCGTTGTCGCCGTGGTGGTGGTGGTGGTCGTCGTCGTTGTCTTCTGGTGTTCGTTCTGTCTCTCTCTCTCTCTCTTTTTCTCTTTTTTTTTCTGCCTTACTCTCTCTATGTGTGTGTCTCTCTCTTTTTTTGCTGAATGCTGACATCAGGTGAATCATTTTCGTGGACCCCCCCGTCCAGCGCGCATTGTTTTGAATTGAAGTGCTCGCCCCCTGGATCGCACCCTGCTTTTTCCCAACCATCCTGTGGTGTTGGGTCCTCGTTTTGAAGAGACAGCGCCCCGCGTCCCTCCTTCCTCCTCCCGCTGCCTCCTCCCCCTCCTCCTCCATCCTCCCACTATCATCATCGTCATCATCATCATCGTCGTCATCATCACTGTCATCACCATCGTCGTCATAATCCTCACGACCATTATCATCACCACCATCATCGTCATCATCGTCATCGTCATCGTCATCGTCATCATCATCGTCATCATCATCATCATCATCATCGTCATCGTCATCATCATCATCATCATCATCATCATCATCATCATCATCATCATCATCATCATCATCATCATCATCATCATCATCATCATCATCATCCTCATGCGTCCGCAGCCCATTTCGCACACCCCTTAACGTTTCGTGGCCCCATAGGGAGCTCCGCCGAAGGTCCCAGTGGGTGTGCCGCATGCGTCCTGTCACCCATGTCGGCACACCCTCACACGTTCGTGGCCACCATAGGGAGCTCCACTCCGATGGTCCCAGTGGGGTGCCCGAATGCGTCCTTGCTCACCAATGTCGGCACCACCCCTTCACACGGTTTCGCTGCCCCATAGGGAGCTAGGTTCCAGTGGGTGTTGCCCGCATGCGTCCCGCACGCCCACTTCGGCACACCCCGCACACGTTTCGTGGCCCCATAGGGAGCTCCACCTAAGGTCCCAGTGGTTGTGCCCGCATGCGTCCCGCACACCTATTTCGGCACACCCCTCAGACGTTTCGTGGCCCCATAAGGGGGCCCCACCGAAGGTCCCCTTGGGTGTGCCCGCATGCGTCCCGCACACCCATTTCGGCACACGCCTCACACGTTTCGTGGCCCCATAGGGAGCTCTGCCGAAGGTCCCGGTGGGTGTGCCCGCATGCGTCCCGCACACCCATTTCGGCACACCCTTCACACGTTTCGTAGGGCCCCATTACGGAACTCCACCGGAGGGGAACTCCACCGAAAGGTCCCAGGGCGTGTGCCCGCATGCGTCGCGCACACCCATTTGTCGGCGCACCTTCACACGTTTTCGAGGCCCCATTAGGGAAGCTCCACGACGGTCCCAGTGGGTTGCCCGCCGCCCGCATGCGTCCCGCACACCCATTTCGGCACACCCCTCACACGTTTCGTGGCCCCATAGGGAGCTCCGCCGAAGGTCCCAGTTGGTGTGCCCGCATGCGTCCCGCACACTCTTTTCGGCACACCCCTCACACGTTTCGTGGCCCCATAGGGAGCTCCACCGAAGGTCCCAGTGGGTGTGCCCGCATGCGTCCCGCACACCCATTTCGGCACACCCCTCACACGCTTCGTGGCCCCATAGGGTGCATCACCGAAGGTCCCAGTGGGTGTGCCCGCATGCGTCCCGCACGCCCATGTCGGCACACCCCTCACACGTTTCGTGGCCCCATAGGGAGCTTCACGGAAGGTCCCAGTGGGTGTGCCCGCATGCGTCCCGCACACCCATGTCGGCACACCCCTCACACGTTTCGTGGCCCCATAGGGAGCTCTGCCGAAGGTCCCAGTGGGTGTGCCCGCATGCGTCCCGCACACCCATTTCGGCACACCCCTCACACGTTTCGTGGCCCCGAGTTTATCCGCGAGGCCTGACCTGAGGAGCGGCCCGCCACAGCCGCGCCTTCTCTCGGCTGTCCAACCGTTTGGCCTCGCGCCGCGGACGCCCTGCGCGCGTCGCTGGGACCCTCTCGGGGCGATCAGCGCGCGTCTCGCGAACTCCGCGCTGCGCTCTGTCCAGCGCCTCGCTCGCCCGTCGTCGCTCCGCCCGGCGGCCAGAGCCATGCGCGCTATCAGTTCAACAGCAAGCAATCTTTGTTCCACACAGCGTACGAACCGTGCGCGTCACTGTGACCCCTTCGGGGCGACCTGCGCGCGTTGCGAGGGCTCTGCGTTGCGCTGCGCCCGCAGCCTTGGACTTTGGAGTGCGCAGGCAAAGGACAAGGAAAAAGGAGGGGAGGAAGCGGGCGCGATCCTCGTGTGGGGCGTGCCGACATGGGCGTCGCGGCGCGCTGGCGCTGCCGTCGGGGTTCCCAGGGAAACCCCATGCAGGGGCTACGCCACACACTTCGGCACACCTTCATACGGTTCGTGGCCCCATAGGGAGCGCCACCGAAAAAGATATTCACAATTGCGGTACTCGCAACTGCATGTGGTTGGGTCCTTCGCCCGGATTATTTTGAGGGAGCGTTGTCAGGGTCAAACAGCGCCCCTGTCCGGCGGACTGCCACAACAAAGGTTCCCACGTTATTTTTCCTCACAAGTTGCTGGGTACCGCGCTCTGACTCGAGGGGTCCTCACAATTTTCTCGGAACCCCGCTCTTACCGTTCAGGATTCCCCGGTACTTTTCTGAGGCGCTGCGCTTTCGACGCCCAGGAATCGTGCTCTCGAATGAAACCCCCTCCCGCACGACTCGTGCTCACGCCTGGGGCTTTTCTGGAATGTGCGAAATTCGCTTTAGTGTCCCGCCCGCCCGACCGACCCGCCCGCTACGCCAGGGTCGCCCCGCTCGACCCGCCTGCGGGGGCCCGCCTGCCAGACCAGCCCGTCGGTTCCTGCCCGTCCGCCTGCCTGGAGGCCCGCCCGCTCCAGCGTCCCGCCCGACCCGCTCGCCCGGGCTCCGCTTGCCCGATCCGCCTGTTCGGGCTCGCCCGCCAGACCTGTCCGTCAGGGTTCCGCCTGTCCGCGCGTTCGGAAGCCCCCCCGCCCGCTTCAGCCCGACCCGCCCGCCCGACCCGCCTGTCAGGGCCCGCCCGCCCCACCCGCCCGACAGTGGCCGCACGCTCGCCTCGCACGTCAGGGCCCGCTTGCGTGAGATTGTGGCTGCGCGCCCCTGCCCCTCCTGCTAAATCTTCTTCGCGGTCGATCCTCCCTTTCTTCCTCCAGGCTCCCTCTGTATTTTTTTCCTTCGCTCTCTCCCTTTGTTTTTCCTTCATTTCAGGGGCCGCGCGAACCACGCGTGGCAGGCATGGGCGATCTATCCCCAAAGGGGGTATAATCGGAGACGAACAGGGCTGGTATCGAGCTTTTGGTTATACATGCTGAGTGACACGCTAGCAACGAAGAGCGATCAGTGTAACAATGATCGTTGATTACCCCGTCCTGATCGATAGTCATTTTTGATCCCCTTGTCGGGCACGCATTTTTTTGCTCCATTTCCAAGGCTTCCCCATGGGTCTCGCACTTTATTGTTGATCAGGAGGAAACCTCGTGCTCAAACAGCGTTCAGGACCCCCGCACTACCACACGCTTTGAATTTCTTCGCAATTTAGTCAAGATCGTGCTCTCGCTCGAGACTTCCTCACACTTTCGCGGGAATCCCGCTCTCGCCTAGGTTTTTCGGAGTTTGCGAAAAAGCGCTGCGCTTTCATCGAAGTCTCGCGCGAAACTCCCTCACACTGTATACTCAGGACTCGTGCTCTCGCCTGGGGCTTCTGGCGCAATCCGCGAAAGTTGCTCCAGGGCCCCGCCCGCCCGACCCGCCCGTCAGGGCCCGCCCGCCTGCTAAGGCTCCCCCCATGCGGCCGCCCTTTTCTCCCTCTCGTTCTCTCGCACGCCGGACAATCTGCCTATTGGTGCCCCCCGATTAGCCCGACGCTGGTGCGGATCGCCTCCGCCTCGCCGCTGACGAAAACATGTTCCGCCCGTTAGGGTCCGCCCGCTCGACCCGCCCGCTAGGGTCTGCCCGCCCGACCCGCCCGCTAGGGTCTGCCCGCCCGACCCTCCCGTTGGGGTTCACCCGCCTGACCGCTCCCGTCAGGGTCCGACCGTTTGCGTTCCTGGACGTCCCCCCGCCCGCTTCCAGTGCCTCGCCCGCCCGACACGCCCGCGAGGGCCCGCCCGCCCGATCCGCTCGTTAGGGTCCGCTGGCCAAATTACAACGCAAACCCATGCCAAGAAGCACCCTTCTTGCCTCCAGGGTGCCCGGAGTTTCTTGGGTTTAGATGGTTCTGCTATGGGAAGCGTGGCGCGCCCACACCAAACATCAATGGCCGTCCTGGGGTCTCAGGCTGCGGCCGTCGAGGTCGGTGCCGAGGCGCGGTGGGTGCGGCGATGTGGGGGCCGATCGCAGACCCCGCCGACGCCGACTCGAGGCTCGCGGAGCGGGGGGTCTAGGAGCTGGGCGAGGGGCTGCGCTGGAGGCCAGTT